TCCTGCTGCTTTAAAAAAAAAAAACTCAATTTTTGTCAACACCTTGTCTTCTTACCTAATAGTAGTCTCTCATAAGTACCTCTATGAGTTATGTACTTTCTTGGGAACACTCTTTTTTGACTCTTCCATTTTTCTGTTGTCAGTAAGGAAAATTAAACCCCAGAAACACTGGCTTCTTAATGGACTGTTGCTTTGCCTACCTCAGGAATCTCAGCTGTTAGAGTATGCAAAAAATAAGGCAGAAGACCTCAGATTGCATGAAAGCTAGAACTGTGAACGCTGTCAATACCACGGAAGGCAGAAAGTGTGAGCTCAAGCAGCTTGGGAGAGTGGGAAAGATGAGAGACATAGCTGAGAGGACCAGTAAGAAAAAACTCTCAGAAAATGCAAGCAAGCTTAGCAAGGAGAGAGGTGCCACTGAGGAAAACAAGTCTCCTAGGAGGAAGAAGGGGGACGACCCCTAAGTTAGGTGTTTTAGTTTTGCACACTACACCGCCACAGCCCACGTCAGCTGCCTTTGCTACTCTAATTGCTGTACACTGAGCACATTTAGTATGGTTCTCTCTCATGATTACTATGAAGGACTGAATATTAATTTTTTTAAAGATTTATTTATTTATACATACAAGAACTGGCGTTTAGTCCAGAGATACGAGGAGTGAGAGGATTCACCAGAGACAAAGTGGGAATAGAATAGGCAGATTGACTGAAATATACCGCTGAGGGGAGCAGCAGGCTAGGCAGGAGAGGTCCCCACTGAACCAGGTGGGTCAGTCAGCAGCTTTCTGGCTGAGGATCAAACTGGTGTACTGCAGTGGCAGGAAATGTCTATGCTCTGAACTTCATGTCTATTATATTGACAAATTATTAAATCCATCGTAGAAGTCAGACGGGTCAGTAAATATTCACTAATTCCTATCTATATATATTTGAATTTTATACCAAAAACATATCAAATTGCTAATATGTATTACTTACACAAATAGGGAATATGTATAATTAGCTGAATTAATAACTGGTTTGGTGAGAATATCTAGAGGGACACAATTCCTAATTTGCTATTTTTCTGAAGAAAGGCTTCTGATATTTGCACAAAATCCTTTACTACTCAATATTAGGCCTCCTTTGGATAAAACTTCGAAACTCATGGCCTAAATCTGGGAGCAAAACTTAATATAAAAATAAATAAGAATAACAAGTCAAGAGCCTCTTGACGCCTAATACAATTACCCAAATCTTAGCGACAGACATGGCACAGGGACTGCCCCACCAATTAAACTGCAGAAAGACAGTAAGGAGACATGTGACTTAGCAGTATCATATATGAAATAAATTAGATTTCGTTAGTCAAGTATAAGTATTGTATGTCAACAGCGTAATGGAGCTGATGCAAAAAATCTTCTGTGACCATTGACTTTCTAAGTAAAAGTGTAACATCTGGACTAACTAGAATAAGAGTCCATTTCTACTGTTCTTTGATGAAGTACTGCTTCATCTGGAGATCATTCAAAACAGAACCACCCCAAAATGAAAGTGTCAGTCTCTTTCTCTCTCCTGTTTCCTCCTCACTTGTTCTTTTAATGTAGGAATGAAATCTAGATAAGGACTTTTTTCTTTCTTTTTTTTTTTTTTTAAAGATTTATTTATTTGTGCATACAGAACTGGGGTATACAGGCCAGAGG